CATATGAAGTACGCAATTATGAAGAGAATATGTAATGAGTACTGAGAACTAAGTACCAGGCATTTTGCTACATGCTTTCCATATATAAAAACCATTTAATCCCTGTGTAATTCAGGTTTTTCTTGTCTTGGTTGTTGTTGTTATTTTTTTTTTTGCTGCTGCTGTGACTAAAATACATGACAAGAACAACTTAGAGGAGGAAAAGTTTATTATGGCTCAGGATTTCAGAGGTTCAGCCCATGGGGAGCTGACTCCATTGCTCTGGGTCCCAGGTGAGGTAGAACATCATGGAGGAAGGATAGGACTGAGGAGTGATGCTCTGCTCCGGGGGCAGCAAGGAAACAGAGGGGGTGGGTGGGGAGGAGACAGGGTGACAAAACATCACCCCCAGGGGCAAACTTTCAGTGAATTGTCTCCTCTAGCCACACCCCACTTCCTACAGGTTACCTCTTAGTCGATTATCCATTCAAATCATTAATCCATCAAGTGGATTAATCCACTGATTCGGTTACAGCTATCATAATCTCATAATTTCACCCCTGAACATCCCCACAACACAGGAGTTTTGGGGGGACAACTCATATCTAAACCATAACAATCTCTTTGAGGCCAGGAGCTACTGCCACTCCCTTTTACAAATGAGGAACAAGATCTGAGCTGGGCAGCTTGGTGGGGGGGAGGGCGCTGAGGCAGGAAGATTGAGAATTCAAAGGCAGCCTCGGAATTTAGCGACCCAGTGAGACCTTGTCCCTAAATAAAATACAGACAGGGCGGGGATGTGGCTCAGTGTTTAAGTGCCCCTAGGTTCAATCCCCAGTACCCCCCCCCCCCCCCAAAAAAAAGTACACATCTGGGACACAAACCCAGGCATTCTCCTTCAGACCCATTGTCCTCTGTTGGTCAAGAAAAGAATGAGCAGAGCGGTGGGGTTTTGTGGAGAAAGGAGAACCTGAGCTGAATAGAATCTTATTTCCCCTCTGGATAAACTGGTCATCAGCGCTCCTCCAGGGCAAACCCAGGCCCTTCTCTGACACTAGATGGCACATCTCAAGTTCTGAGCACCCACGTCCGGGAAAGCCTTTAGGGGCTACCAGGTGCCACTTTGGTCTTGAGATGTGCTAGTCTTCTTTCTCTATTTCTAAAGCCCGGTGGTATCCTGCAGAAGCTCTTCCTAGTCTTGGGCTCTGGGGATTCTCCCCTGGAGGAGGGTAAGCAGCAGGAGGGAGGCTGGCGATGAGGACTGATGAGTGGCTGACTTTAGCTCTGCCTTGGCTSTTCTGTGGTGGGCAGGGGGCGGGTCTGCTGCTCTTCACTTGGCATTTTCAGAGTGCCTTAAGAGCAATTAACATAATTAACACTGGTTGCTTGTGAGCACACAGCTAGTGCCTGGCTACCTTTAGACAAAATTTCTTGCCCCCGACTTGACTTTGGGTGACGTAAGACAACTTGGCTAACCCCCCTTTTTTTCCTTCCAAATATAACTTGAGACTGTTTTGGTTTATTAGATAAACCTTGTGATGAAAGCACCCATGGGTGTAGAGGTTTGAAACTGATGGTACCATTTGTCCCTCTCTTAGTCAAAAAGCAAATTTTGTGTTGGGACTTAAACCCTATTTTCTAAAATTAGGAAAACTTAAAGGAAGTCTGGATTTCTCAGTTTTCTCGAAAAGTAGGGAAATCAGGCACCAGGGACTTTTCCTCCCAGCAGCGGTGCTGGTCTGGAGCCATGCTGTGCTCTCAGTCCACAGGACCCCACTGCTTCCTGTCACTGTGCCTCAGCCTGGATGCTCCAGGCTTCTGGGTTTGACTCTCGTGCAGAAGATCAAGAAGTCTTCTAAAATGTCTAAAAGATCCACTTGATTCCAGGCCAATTCAGGAGAGGTTTCAAAATTCAAATGTAAAATGTTCCAAAGCAAACGGCTCATTGTTCAGCTGGGGCCCCAGACAGATTTGCTGACTGGGGACTTGTGTGCCCTCCTCTCCTTTGATCTCTCTCCTTCCCTGAGGATTCTTTCCAATTTGATTCTCTGCTTGCTGATGATTCCTGAAGGGGCCAGCATCACGCCCCTGTTCATCCCTCCTTCCCCCGAATTGCTTCTCTGTCTGGAGGGCAGAGGCGTTCTCTTAATTGGACTGTTCTCTCCCTCTCCAGCAGTTAGCACTGTTCTCTGCATCTTGTCAATGCTCCATAAACGTGGAAATTAGAAAGAATGCTACAGTGCGAACCAACCAGAACATATGTGCTGGGGTCCTGGAAGCCAMGGATGTGAAAGACCATTCAGAAGGGATTCAAGGCTTCTAGGAGGAGGGTAGAAAGGACATAATTAAGAACTGAGACAGGTTTATTGAGTGCAGGGGTTCGAGAATGGAGCCTCAGGCAGAGGCCCCAGGAAGCATAAAAGTCTTGGAGAATAGTTTGGGCAGCTTTGGGGGTTCAGAGAGCTCCTGAGTAGATTGAGGTGGACCTTCTAGAAGATTCTTTGAATCCTCTCTTTCTCCATATTTAATTCTTCAGAGAATTTCATTGGATTGACTTTGGAAATGCTTCCAGACTCCACCCACGTTTCATCACTAGCACCTCCAGTTGCTCTCGACCAAGTCATGATCGCCTCTCACCTGTGTGCCTGCCAGAGGCTGGGACTCAGCATCCCTCCTCCATGCCCACTCCTGACTCTCCACTCTTCTCCAGCAGCCGGGATGAACCAAAACTCTCCTGAGTTTTTAAGGTCCTACATGATTTGGCCTCTGTGATCACATCTCCTCTTCTTTTTCATGCTATTTCAGACCTAGCAGCATAACTATTATTTTCAGAATACTTRCATTTGCTGTCTGCTAAACTTGGGATACCCTTCCTTCAGAAATTYCCAAGGCTTCCTCTTCCTTCTAATCACGGCTTTGCTCAAATGTCACCCTTTCTGAGAGGTCTTCCCCGAACACCCACCTGAAGCTGAATCCCTCTCCTTATCCCCCTCTTTCCCACATGCACACGCTATTCTCTTACTTGACTTTTCTTTAGGACATATGTCGCATTGTGTTTTATACATTTGTTTCATTGTCTGTTTCACACTACAGTATAAACTGCATGAAGGCAGAGACTTTTCTTGATACATAGTAGATGCTCAATAAATAAATAAAGGCGTCTAGCAAAAACGAGAACAGAGAGATGCCAGAGTCACAGTTTTCTTKGGGGAAAAGAGATAATATTAACACAAGAGGAGATTTTTAATACTTTACATATGTGGTAAATATTCAATTCAATTCAATTGAAGTGTTTATAATGCAATTACACACACAGATCAAATATCAAGAGTTATTTGGGATAAATGATAATTAAAGGGCAGATCCTGCCTGCAAGGAATTTACAGCCAAGGGAGAGGAGACAGAACATAGGACTCTCCAGTTATCTTTGAATTCCCCATAGCATGATCTTCATTGTCCTGCATACTGGGGGTATTAAACTATTTTTTTTTGGTATAAATGAATTATCAGTATATCCTTCCATTAAATTCTTTTACTGTCCTATAGTCTGATAGGATAGAAATCACTTTACAAACCCATAACCCTTTTTGAGTTTTTGACTTCACCCACTACCCACCACTCATTACTTCTTTGGACACTGTCACCTGGCTGCTTCTTGGGCATTTCACATACAATATATCCAACCTTTTCCTTTGTCTCCTGATCTCCACGGAAGCTGGAATAATTGTTTCTGCCCACTCCTCACATTCTCTTGCATGCTATGGGGCCTACCTCCTGRGTCCAGGGGACCTATGGATTCCTCTTTTTCTGTTGCTGCTTCTGTGATCTTGGTCATCATCATGTTTTTCTAGATTTTCAGCCATGCCACCCCACCCCTGTCCCAACCTCTGGTAAAACTCCTTTCCCATCCACTCTCCAAGGTGAGGACAGAGTGGTCTTTCTAAAATTCCAATCTGATAACCACACTCCCTACTTAAGAACTCCAGGGTCTTCCTGATGGCCCCAGGCTAAGGGCCAGACCCCTTAACACATCATACAAAGCCCCCTAGCTTCTGGCATCTAAGAATTGGTTCTTCCAATTGTTTCTCACAGTCTAGTCTGGGTCCCACAGAGACTTCTGGTTCTCTAAYGTGGCTACTCTCACCTTCCTCCTTTCTCTTCCTCTGGACCCTCCTTCTTGCTTCAGTTTCTACCTAGTTTTCCCATGACCAGTACTTGGCTCCTTATCCCCCATAATGGATTGTGGGGGATGTGCTTCCTGGACACTGTTCTTGTCATGCCTGTTTTATGGCCTGTATCCTCACTAGACTGCAAGCTCCAAGAGGAACCTTGTCCTGTTCTTCCGTAAYGTTGAATGAATGAAAAAGCACTTGCTTGGATAAGGCGATTAGCCATAAAAGATTAATAGTTTATATTTACTGAGTGGTTATGATGTATGGGACACTGTTCTAAGTGCTTTCTAAGTACGACCTAGCCATCTCACATGACTAAATGGGTTTCTCTCCCCATATAACAGAGGGGGAAACTGAGGCACAGAGAGATTAGATGACCTGGTTAAGGTCCCCCATTAGGTAGTGGAGAAACCAGGCTGTTTTCAGAGTCCAGATGGCATCAGAGAGTGAAGCCACAGTCTGGGGGTACCTTACATGAACAGATTCAAGTCCCCAAGGAAGGGCTTTGTTTTTGTTTTCCAGGGAGGGGACGCGCTCTGGAGCCGCCCTCTTCTCGCCCCTGCGTCCTTCGCGGGGCTTGGGGAAGGGCCTGTGCATCTCGCCCGCGGGCAGGGGTCTGCGTGGGAACCGCTGATTAACTTTCGGGGCCGCTCGGTCCACTCGCAGCTCTACCCAGGTCCTCCGGTGCCTCCCCGCACCACCTCGCGCCGGGCCAGTCCCCCAGGCCCCAGCCGCCCGCGRGTCTCCGGGCGGGGAAGGGGCGGGGCCGGGGCGGGGCCGCTCACCGAGGCCACCGCCCTCGCCCGGCGCGGCCTCTCCGGGTGCCGCGGGCCGGGCTGGAGCGGGAGGGCGGGGCCTCGGGAGGGGCCGGAGCGCGGCGGCTGGTGCGGTGGCAGGCGGAGAGGAGGAAGCGGCGCGTCCCCCGAGGCGTGCGCCGGCCGACCCACCGACAGACAGACGGACGCGTGGAGGGAGAGGCCGGAGGGCCAGGTCAGGCTCCGGCGGGGTTGCGGGCGGCGCCGGGGCGGGGGCGGGGAGGGGGCGCCCGGAGCCGGGCGGGGGGAGGCGCGGAGGCTGGCGGCGGCGCGCTCCGGGTCGGCCCGGGCCCGAGCCCCTTCCCCGGGCTGGCTGGCTGCGCAGGGAGCGCGCTTCGGCAGCGGAAAGTGGAGCCGCCGGCTCCCTTCTTCCCCGGTCTCTTTTCTTTTCCCATCAGCGAAAAATAACCCCCCGCCAAGGTACAACAATAGCGGGGCCACCTGGGACGCGGCGCGCACCGGGCTCCCACGGTCGGTCCGGGCGGGGGTCGGCGTGGAGCCCGGGAGCCGTGGTCCCTCCTCGGAGCCCCGGACCGATTTGCCCCGGTGGTGGGTGGGGCCACCCGCGGCGCCGGACTCGGTCGGAGGCGACGGGAAACCTCAGGAGTGAAGCCGAGGGTGAAAGTATTTCAGGAACAATCAGCCGGGCTTTCTACCCTGGCTCTGTCTTGGGGAGGGAAACTGAGGCGGAGGGAAAGGTAGCGACATGCCCAAGGTCAGAAATGCACAGATGGGTCGTCCTCGGCGAGGGACGGGACCCAGGTGTCCGGAGCAGCCCAGCGCTTGGCCCCTGTGGGTTTTGCAGAGGTGGGATTTGCTTTTAATGAATCTGTTCTGTTTGTTTTAGAGATCTGGTCTTGGGGGACCGCTTCGGGGCTTCCGGATGCCCTCCTGCTTCKTGTGCCCTGGGCAGGTGTGGGGCAGGTGACAGCTCCGTAACCACCATGGATGGAGAGGGACTTTTTGATGAGGAAATCCAAATTGTCGATACAAGCCAGGCCGATATGGCTGTCCAAGGTCTCCCTTTTGGGGAATCCGAATGAGGGAGATCACAGACACCTTCACTGCGAAGCCAAGGACATTCCTGTATAATCAGTGGATGAAAGGATTTTCTCAGACTCTCCTTCTCGCTTTTTATTGAGGATTAATCCACCACCATCTACGGTTCYAGTGGAAATGACAAGGCACACCATGTGGCAGAAGCCTAGAGCGCCCTCCGAATTGCTCTGGACCCTTCCTTTAGCCTAAGGGACTTTTCACACTTGCCACTCCCCCCACCCCCCACCCCCCAGAGCCCTTCTTCTGATTGCCATCCTCAACCCGTGGTCATTCTCCCGAGTTAAGTTCTATTTCCAAAACTGTTCTCTGGAGCTATAAGTGGATTGCCAGAAATGAGAGATTAGGTGTTGGGAGAAGAGGAAGCCTTCGCCCTGTGTTGTGTCCTCTCAACTGCTGCTGCGGCTGCCGACATGAAGTGCTTTCTCCCGGTGCTGAGCTGTCTGGCTGTGCTGGGTAAGTGGCTGTGCTTATCAGTGCAATCGATGTGAAAGTTTAACCTGCTCTTGATTCCTGTAATTCTTGTGTTTCTTTCCCATCCACTCTCGACTTCAGGCGACACCAGGAGGGAGTTGGTGTGTCACAGATTGAAGTAGAGACCTAGAGGCCCATTTCTGACCCTGGAGGAGTGGTGGCATATTGTGTTTGTGTTTAAGCAGGAACATTTTTGCTGATCTTCAAGTGTCTGTCCTGGGCCTTGGGGTGAGGTCTGTCATCTGCACATCCACGGTGTAGGGCTGCATGTGGATTGTGACTAGCTTCCTGGAGTAGGACGGTCATGGATGCTGCGGCGTGTTTTCAGTGTGTGTTGGTCTGCATTCGTTCCTAATTGGAAGTGGCAATGTAATTTCTACTCTGTCGGGAAAGTCTATTTGGTGATAATGAATTTTTTTTTTGGGGGGGGGGAAGTAAGTGGGATGGGGTTGAAAGGATGTTTTTCCTACCTAAGTGGTCTGTAGGCTAAGTGTTTGAGGATGTTAGTCCTGTGTCTCCTCACCAAGGAATCTCAGCAAGAGGAGAGATTGGAGAAGTGGAAACTKCCTGGTAAGGGGTGTGCTGGGTTTGGTTTTTGTTCCCTCAGAGAAGGTCTGAATGGAGTGGGAGGAATACACTGTGGTCCCAAGCGGTGAGCCTCTGATCCACCCCCAGGAAGCGCACACCCCCACCAACACTTGTTCATGCTTTTCATGCCACCCCGCAAGACTTGAGTTTGGTGTCTTAGAACATATGTTGGGTTTAGAGTGAACTCACTAGCCAGGACCTGGTGCGTTCTCTCCCTATCTCCTCAAACCTCAACCGTGGACACACCCCTTTCCCTTTACGTATGGTTCCATTCTCTGCATTTAAAGGGCATSTATCACTGCTGCCTGTGGTGTTTGCCTCTCTAAATCTAGGTATTTTGCACTTACGTAATTTATTCGCAATCTTTTGGCACTGGAATTTGCTTGACTGCATTGCCCACACCTTTCTGAGAGTTAACAGGTGTGTGGAAGGAGAATGGACTTTGGAATCAGAGTGCCTCAGCTCCAGGCACAGTCTCACCGTGATTGACATCTGAGTCTCAATAAAACATCCAAGGGCTGCCGTGGCAAGTCAAGCACATGAGATAGTCTAAACATCTTGACTGCCCTGAGTAGTCTGAAAACTCCTAACGATAAACATGTTCCATCGGTGACTCTCAAAGTTGGGTCCATGTTGATATCATTGAGGGAACTTTAAAAACATCTTGAGGCAACCGCTCCAGACCAGTGGAAGCAGATGCTGTGGGTTGGGGCCCAGGCATTAGTCTTTGGGCTCTCCCAGCTAGTCCCACGCGTGGCTCAGTGAGGGAGCTAGTGTGTGAGTTCAGTAGAGCCAGCCCGACTGCTGGGTGCACACGCGCATCCCAGCCTGGCAGCTCGTTTAGCCCTTGGCTGCCCATCTGTGAGTCAGGATGCCGTCTCTGCGCCTCCTCTCTGCAAGGAGAGGCCAGGAGGCAGGTAGCCCTCCCTTTGCCAGCCTCTGAGTGCCGCGTTTGTGTTTGTTCTCCTGTATGTGTCATTCACTTAGTATCTGGATCTGAATCAGCAATTAGTGATTCATGTGGATTCGAAAGGACACAAACAAGGAAAGCCCTTTGAGAGTTCTTGGGTGTGGAGTGGGGTGTGTGGCTGKAGTGGGAAAGAGGACTGAGTGGAAGGGTTGGACCCCAGGGCAGGAGAAGGAACCACCAATGGGAACAAGGAAATGTGACATTTGTGCCTTTTGTTTCTTTTGGCTGCTCAAGAAAATGCAACTGCTGCTCTCCCTGCTGTTCGCTCTCTGGGCCGCCATGGAGTGGAGCTGGGCCCTTGGCACTGGGTGGGTGCAGTCATTTTCCCTCCACCCCCACCCTCCTGTGCCAAGAGGTGCCGTGGAGGAAAATGAGCATCAAGGTGGTTTTAATGGGGAACAATGACAGAAGGCCAGACGTGGGTGAGAGGGGGGACGTTTGGAACCGTGGACGCACTTGGTAATCTCTGCTTGATTTTGAGCCTTACCGGTGGCACCTGTCACTCCCTAACACCCGATAACTGTCGGCGAGGCAGGGGAGAAGGCCTGGCTCCGACTTCACCTGGGAGAAGGGGAAGGTGTGTGGGGAGGGATCACAAAGCCTCCTTGGGCTTTTATTTCCTGCTTGCAGTCTGGAGCAGTTTGATTCATGCGTCAGCATTCTTGCCGTGTAATGTGAATTAACATGTAACGTGAACTAATGTACGGTGTGAATTTAAAACAGCCAAGCATCCCCAGGTTCTGAGCCCATGTGGAATCAAATTTTGTTTGCAAAAAGTTGGGTAAGGCCGAGTGCTTTTCAGTGTGAGACGTGTGGGTGCCAGTCTCCAGAAAACAGCAATCTGAGTTCAGGAATCCTGTGATCCTATGTGCAGGGGTACACAGGGTGAAATCTCCTGAGATGCTTGTGACTCTCGCTCGGCATCAGTCGCCCTGTGCTTTTCTGCTCTTTTCTTTTGCCGATATCGAGGATTTGGGTCAGGCTCATCTTCTGCTGCCTGTTGGGATACTGGTCCTGTTCATGTCTTTGTCCCATTGAAGCTACTTGGCTGAGGCTTGCCCTCTGAATGCTGTATCTTGTTGCCTGCCATCGCAGCCCTGGGTGACCCACCTCCCTTGGAACCATTGGCTGCTGCCACAGTCCTTGTTTCAGTTCCAAAACCACCTTCAACCTGGGTGAGCCAGGGGGACAGTAACATCTCCACTAGTGAAAGGAGGTGGAGCCAGAGGGGCAGAAGACGGGAGTGGTAGTAAGGGCTGGTTTGAGTACGAAGAAGAAGAGGGAATGAGGAGGGAGGAAGAGGGTGATTGGTGCTCTGTCAGTGCCTGGGAGCAGCCTACGTGGGTGACAGTGACAGGGAAAAAATGACAACAGTGTGGGAGAAGAGAATAGGATTTGTATYTGCACGAACAGGAAGAGAATAATCAGGAGAGATGAATGTAAGCTTCAGACACAGAAATTTTGATTTTGCGTACCATGAAGAGTCCCACCTCCCAGACCCGTGCTGATGGAGTTGCAAAGAAGTTGAAATGACTTTGAAAGTGTTAGCCACGACAAATGAAGGGGRTGGGCTGTCTTTGGATCAACACAGGAGAACCTGTAGATGACCGAGTGATCACTTACATTTTCCTCCAGGGGAAAGAAGTTCTTCTGCAGAGTTTGGGAAGCCTCTTGTTTCCAAAGGATGGGAGTAAGAGATCACTTACTTCCCAGTTAGTTAGCGGGGGAGGCCAGAGGGTGCTTCCAAAACAGACTGAAACATACTTTGATCTACTGATGGGTCTGGGCTGAGAGGCAGGACTGTGGAGATCAAAAACAGAAGAGGAGGAGGAGGCAGAGGAGAGAAGGGAGGTAGTTTGGGCATTCAAGGAGAGGTTCTCAAGGAAGGGATGAGGATGGTGATTTGTGGGCAGACAAACACCACTGTCCTAACACTATCCCAGAGATAATACACTTTGCCTTTCTAAGGATCATCTGATGAAATGCCGAAGAAGGGAATTCTTGTCAGGAGGACTCAACTGGCTAGGATGCTTTTTGTGTTAGTCAGCTTTCTGTTACTATAACCAAATACCTGCCACAATTAACTTAGAGAAGAAAGGTTTACTTGGCTTACAGTTTTTGAGGTTCTACTCCGTGACTGATTGGCCATGTTGCTTTWGAGCTTGTGACAAGACAGCACATCATGGCAGAAGGGTGAGGTAGAAAAAAAAAAAATACATGCACTTCAGTTCCAGAAAATGGAGGAAGAGGAAGGGGCCTAGTTCCACTATCTCTTCTTTCCTTCTAGTTCCACCTCTTAAAAGTTCTGTCACCTCTCAATACCACCACCTGGAGACAAAGCCTGTAACACATGGGTTTTGGAAGACATCTAAGATCCAAACCTATAGCATCTTTTCAGCTATGAGCATCATGGAATCACCTGTAGGCACTCAGGACTGTTAAGATGCTCCATTTGCTACATTTTTCATTGCAGCAAGATGACTGTTGCTATTCTAGCAGCAGTAAACCAGCTCTCTTCACTCTGTCYTATTCTGTGAACCAAGCCCTCAAAACAACTGCAAGATAGATACCTTGTATCATCATTTTTTTTTTTATAGGTGGGCATATTGAAGTCCAGGGGGATTCAGTAACTTGACTAAGATGTATTACTGATCAGGTTGATATAGGGCCTCATAGTGTTAGGGACCCAGACTCTTCTGACTYGTCCCCTGTGCATGCCCCCACTCTCAAGATCACCTCAGAATCCAAGATGGCCATTCAAGACCCTGCCATCAGGAATGAGGAAAGGGTTGGTGAAGGGCAAGCGCTGTTGAGTTAAGGATGCTTCCTGGAAGTCATGCACACCACTTTTGCTTATRTTCCTSTTGGCTAGAATTTGGTCATGTGGTCAGACTTAGCTGCAAGGGAGTCTGGAAAGTATCGTCCTAAGTGTCCATGGGATCTGCCAAAAACTCGAGGACCTGTTACTTTAAGGAAAGGAGAACATAGATTTGGGGGTCAATTACTGGTCTCTCTGCCATGGCCACAACCTTAGAAGTGAYAGAGTGGAATTTTGAAGCCAGGACTGTTTGGTGTCAAATCCTTTGTTCTATCATTTAACAAGCAGCCTCATCTGTGAGAAAAAGGTCTGGCCTCAGCCTCTAAGAAACCCAGCGGGAGAAACAGAAGCTCAGTGGACCACGAGTTGTTACCTAAAAGCAACATAAATAGGCATATATTAAACACTCCATGTGCAATGTTAGCAGTGAGTACTATAATGTTATGGGATGCTTGTGTGTGGGCCACTGTGCTGTTTTGCATAGTACGGCTTTCTGGATGACGGCTCACAGGCCATCTCTGTCATGTTTAGTTCATCACTGTAGCCTTAGAAACTTGGCCTTGGGGCTGGGATTGTGGCTCAGTGGTAGAGCGCTCGCCTAGCATA